GTGTATTGCTACAATCCAGTTGAAGGGCAGGTTTTGTGTTTTTGGTGGCTGGTGTTGTGTCAGTTTTAATAGTATAAAAAATGGTTTCTTTCTCCTCTGCTTTGGGTAAAAGAATATTTTTCTCTGGCAAAGATGGATTAATGTTCTAAAATAGGTGTTGCTCCCAAAAGCCTGCCTAGATGGCAGTATTCACTCATGTAACCTGTACTCAAGGATGGAGGCTGTTTAAATGCGTGTTATGAAAAAATTACTTACAGTGCTAAGCTGGATGGGAAGGTGTATGCTGGTACATACAAATAACTGTTTCTTATTACATTTCTTAATAATAAAATCCAACGATAAGTCATATTTTCTGGTTTTTAATCACTTAGGTCTCTTAATTGGATATTCTCAGGTTTAACCTGTACGAAGATTGTTTCAGTCTAAGTAACTCCTAAAGGAAAAATTTTGTCACTACTCCTTGCTGATAGTCCAGAAAATTAGTAATATATCTAGTCATGCTCATTTAACATTAATTGCTGGAAATACTTACGGTACAAAGTTTATTGTTCGGTCCTGAGATCTTCATCAAAAGGGTTGTCAAGTATTGGAACAACCCCAGGGAAATAGGGGAGTCACCATCCCTGGATGTTTTTAAAAGATGTGTAGCTTTGACATTAGGAGTGTGGTTTAGTGGTGGACTTGGTTGTGCCAGGTTAATGGTTGAACTGGGATGATCTTAGAGGTCTTTCCCAACATAAAGTATTCTATGATTCTATGAAAGACCTACTCAGCCTTCATGGGACCCCAGATTTATTAACTGCAGATGAAAGACTTGTATCCTCTTCTGTCATCTAGCTCAGTTAAGACTGTAATGCCATAACAACCTCACTGTAATAAACACTGCAGTGATTATATAAAAATTGGATTTAAATCATTAGTGGTATTCTTCCTCGTGGAAGTGCATGTGTTGATAAGAGGATTAGCCAGTAGTACATTCTCACTGTGGTAGCCAGGAGCCTTGACACAATGACCTTCTGCTCCTATGGTCTGATAATCAATTCTGAGCCCGTTAATCTTTCCAGACAGCTTTCTTGCTCCCATAGCTGAAACCTGGTGTTCCCAGTGCACTGCAGAAGCTCTGTTCTAGCCACATAACTTCAGAGGCAGCAACTGAAAGGAATCCATTCAGCAAGCTGGCAGAGATTGTTATCACAGCAGCTCATGGGGTTCAGTGAGCATTATATGTTCATAACAAAATAAGCTGACACAGTCCATAAGCTCTGCCAGATTTCGGCAGACCCAAAATAAGGATGCAATTCTTTTGTAGCTCTTTTTCAGCTTAGCTGCTCTGCAAGATACACGTTGATTAGATATGGGAGAGCTACAGCTGACTTCAGCATAAACATGATTTTTAGAACTTGGTTCAGTTGCTTGTGCTTTGGCATTGAATACCATTTGAGATGCCCTGGGGTGTCCTGCATGGTCTCCATGTCTCCTGCTTCCATACATCCTATGTAGTATCTGCCAACCCCACATGTATCTCGGGTGCCTCAGGGCATCTCAAAGAGCAGATGCTAGTGTTCAGGCATCTAAATGGAGCACTTTGTTTTCTGGAACTTTGGATAGCTGATGTCTGACCATTTTTTCTGTGAGTTTGCATAAAATGCCAGCACTGAGATTGATGCGTTCCTTGATTTTCCAAATAAATTGCTCAAATCCTCAGTATGTGCATAATGTGGGATACATGATGTTGTATGTGAAAGAAAGTATTGTCTCCTAGGTGATGGGCTGATGCTGCACTGTTCTAGTTACTTCCTCAAGGAAAATATTTTAGAGCAAAACCCCAGCCTTGAAACTGGCCATAAGTCACAAGGTTTCTGATTATTTTCTGAAGATAACATGGGCAGGTTCAATTTCAGCAAAGCCATGAGCAACAGGGGTGAGTTAATGGGAGAAGAGTCCCCTTGCTTTCTGTGGGCTCTGTGTGAGATTCAGCTCAGGATTAAGCCACGTAAATGTGTCCAGATCTAGGTGTGTATGGCTAGAGCAGAGCAGCTGAGCTGGTACTAAGTTCCTTTAAGTCTTGACTCATTCTGGAAGCTGAATTGACTCCACTTACTGGTGGTCCCTGCATGGTGCCACATTAGGTGCTGTAAGGTGTCCTGTCTTGCCCTCAGTGCTTGTCTGGAAAAGTTCAGGTGTCCCATCAGTCCTTGGTCACTCCTGCTACT